TCTTCTTCTTCTTCTTCTTCTTCTTCTTCTTCTTCTTCTTCTTCTTCTTCTTCTTCTTCTTCTTCTTCTTCTTCTTCTTCTTCTTCTTCAGAAAACCGATAACATTTCAATGTCAGATGTGCAGAGGTGGGTTGCCAGTTTTTTTAAACTACTGGTTTGGGTGCACTCACACGGATGCTTGCTTGTGCGACGCTTCTGCACATGCACAGAAGCATCCAGGATGGAGGTGGGTTCCTACCGGTTTAGACCTGGTTCGGCTGAGTAGGTAGTAACTCGGCCTGCAACACCCCCAAACCAGTTCTATCGGCGGTGCCGCCAACTTTATTTTTGGTGTTGTGCATGCGCAGAACAATCTTCATTTCAAAAATTGCATTTCTCCCCTTTTCTAATGTACGCATGCGCAGACCTTTCTAGGTGCAAATGCGTATGTTTGGTGTGCATTTGGCATGCTTGCAAAAAAATTTGCATGCCAAACTAATAGTAATGTCGGTAGCAACCCACCCCTGGTCCGGACGGGTAGGCAGAGCCTCCCGCTGCTGCTACTAGTGGTTCGGCCAATTCGAGCCGAACCGGCAGCAACCCACCTCTGCAGATATGTCCTTTGAAATAGCAAAGAACCTTCAGAAGGAATCTCTCAACACCAAAATGGCTCCCAGATGCCTCCACATATAGTTATTGAGAAAGGAATGTGTGTTATTCCTACATAGTGTGTTAGTAGCAGAGAAACATTGAAGTAAGACTTCTATAGAAAAGGTGAACACAGTGTAAAGTTGCTCTGGTTTTAACTAAAGATAGCAAGGCAACAGGTATTTCTCTAATGCAGTATTTCTTAGAATGAATGTGTCTGCCCCTTTTATTTTTTTTAAGGGCACACAGAACAAGTTTCAGATAAATCCCTTTGTTTGTTCAGTTTTTCATAATATATCAGAGTGTCAAGAAAGTATGCACCAGTAATTCTCTCATGTGATGATATTTACTGCCCTAAGTATATTTTACCTAGAATTAGTTTTTCTTGCTGATGCCTGCAATCTGCAGCCAGATAAAAGATAGAAGTGAGCTGTTTCCCTAATTGTATTTGCAGTCTATTTTTCATTTGTTTGTTGTTTGTTTGCTTTACCCTGTTAAAAAAAAAGAGAACCGTACCTCCACAATCCAGCATGTTATACTCATCCGGTTTCTCCAAGGGCCAGCAATCATAATCCGTGTTATCCAAATCATGCCATCCTTCTGCTAAAAGAGCCTGCCATAATAAACATCAAAAGGTTCTTAAGTATTATAATATGACTTCATTCTTCAGTAAAACATTTTCTTTCAGAAGAGCAAGAATTACTTATTATTTATTTATTTTATCTGATTTTTGAGCCTGCCTGACTCCTTGACATCTCTGGGCGACTTACAGACAAAAGAAAAACAATCTCTCTCTCTCCCTCTCCCTCCCTCTCCCTCCCTCTCTCCCTCCCTCCCTCCCTCCCTCCCTC